ACAGTCTATCTTTATCCTGTTCCGGAGATGTTCAAGTTTTTGCAGCGTAATGCACAAATGTCTGAACTGCCACAGAATACACCGGACCATTCACGATCAGCCGGATAGAAAGGTCAGTGTGTGAGGTCTCTGCTGTACCAACGACTAATCCGGAGACGAATCAAGAGAATGCTGGAATCACGAATTGTTTAATGCTGGTCTGCAATGTGCAGAAGAATGTACTGTGGTTCTGGAGCGAACGAGACGGATTATACTCTGCCTAGGTAAAGGAATCGGTACAAATGGGGCATTATATTTGTATATTTTGGTACCTAAATTGTTACGTTTGTATTTTAAATTGTGGAGTGTCGTACCCGTAGCCCGCTAGCAAAGGAGAACAACCGTATGCAGGTTTGGATAGGTTTATTCTGACTCATTCACAATCTGTCGTCTCAAGCGTATGAGCCATAAAGCAGCCATGGAACTAACACCCAATCAGGATCGGACCCATGTCGACCGGTAGTACTTGCATGGGCAAGTGTGTGAGATTGATCGATCTGAATAGATATCAATCAATAACATCTGCGGAACGAACAAATTAACGATACGCAGATTGGCAGAACGTACGCACTTAAGCCACAAGAGCGTATGCAACACAAATTAGATGTGACCGTGAAAATTTTTAATACTCACTCAAATATCAAACATTTTCACATCTGCTGGCTGATCGTGACTTTGATAATCTCCGGATGGTGGTGGTCATATTTTTTTTTTAACTAAATAGAGAAATATGAATATCCGTATAATTTTTGGCGTGCATTCCGGTAGTTCACAACAGCTCAGTGTGATTGTGACAACTTATCCTCAATCAACCTGAGTTATGTTAAGGTAAGAAAATATCTGAACCTAGTGTCTTAAAGGGACCATGTGATTTCAGCGACTGAGATCATCGAATCAAGAACCCAAACTCCGAAAAGTGGATTTCGGAAATCAATCCTGTGCTTAAACTCATGATTTATTATGAAATTAGCAACTAATTGTGGTGATCGGGCAATGAATAGGCACGCATCTCAATACACCTTCCAGGTAGTCAATGAGGTAACGGATTTTCCGACAAATCCTGTGGTCCCAAGTGGCATCAACCGGATTGGCTGAATGCAAGAAGACAACCGAATGAACCATATCGTTGTCGATTGGACAGTGAAGAATCGACCAATGATTGTTTGTTGATTGGGATATTTATTTGCATGATTTTCCGAACAGAATTAACTGTATCCACACCTCGTCTTGGTTCTACCTGACTTCGCGCTATTCAGTGGGTTTTCAGTCCGATACCGAGTTCGCGCTATTCGATTTCGATTCCTATTCCAAATGGTACACTATCACAACTACATGTATAACAATATATATATATGTTTGATTTACGATATATCTCGTCACCGCTCCTAAAATAATTTCAAACACGGTTGGTACTTGAAGAGTGTGTGTGCCAATGATGGTAACCAATAAATGGAATATCACCTGTGAGCAGAATACTAACAGGATAAGAATTCCCCTAACAATGACGCAGTTGTTGCTAGATTATGTTCCGTTGACAACTATCGAAATTCGGTTCTCGTAGTTCGGGTGAGCTGAATTCCATTTCTCCTGTTTGCCGAGCTTGATTATTTGTTTTCGCAAAAATATATGTGAAGCACTGCATATCTTTTGCAAACAAAGCGCTGCAAACTCGACGGAAAATTACAATGCAGTAGATTAGTGGAGGATTTATATTGGTCCTATGACAAATTTCCTCGAGTACAGAGCAAATGACGCGTGAGGCACTGGGCGGTTGGGCAAATCTGGATTGGGCCTTGTCATCAGAGCGAATCCATAGACCAAACTGAGAATCGAACCCGGGTTGTCACAGGTAGACCGCAAGCCTACCATCCTCTCGGTCACCGGGTAGCTAATCGGATTGTTTTTAATTCCAACTACTCACGATTATTCACTTGTAGTCAGGTTGGAATGTTTCCAACTGAGTCATAACCCCGGAGGCTATAGAACAGAGCACAACCCATAGGTGTTAACGGAACCTGGTACCATAGAATTGGTCAAGAGATGGGAAGCATACGAGGGTTGAGCCAACATATTCTGGATACACGCAGTACACAACGAGTACGAGGTGCAGATGACCGGGGGCAAGGAAACTGAATTGTAATCTCGTATTGTGAATATTATTCAGTGATGGCAACTCACAGAACAGCTCACAAGTCACACGAGGGTCGTTGTACTAGGACTGTACCGAAGGACCTCAGCCGATGCCATCGGAGAGCAATGATATTTTACGACAACAAATGTGATTTAATTCAGAAGCAGAGTGTTGATCGTTTGTAAACTGCCTTTGATAATAATGTGCCTTCAAGAAACAGTGTGTTCCCGAATGTCAAGCGCATAATGCTTGGAACCCGATACGAGTCACCAATAGCTACAGTGGAGG